CTGCCCAGGCGGGTCTCGAACCCGTGGGCTCAGGCAATCCACTCATCTCAGCCTCCCAAGGCACGGGATTACAGGCTGAGCCACCGAGCCCGGCTCTGAGTGTTATTTTATAAAAATAAAATTTTTATTTTATAAAAATGAGCTCACAGTGTGGATGGGTGAAGAGCCATTCTCCAGGGCTAACTTCCTGCTTGCTGCCTGAAGGAGCTCCTGCCAGCCCCAGCCCTTCCAGGACCCTCTGCATGGCTTCTGGAACCATCCTCGAAGCACTCTTCCCTGAACTTGCTTCCTTCCTTAACCCACTGAAGCGTGCGATGCCTGGCCCGAGGAGACATTCAACCCATCTTGGAACATTGGACAAGATTGTTCTGGAATGGAGGATTCTGAACTCAGATGATTTCATCCCTCCCTTGCTGTCAACTGAACCTTCCTAAGGGGTCTGTGGTTGCCAAGGTGGTCTCAGAATTAAACTTTGGGGGATTGGGAGCCTAGCAAAGCCTTAGCTGAGAGAGGCAGGGGGGAAATGGCATGACAAATGCCATTACTTGACTCTGAAGGGACATCAGGAATTGACAGGGCTGTATTAGGGGTGTCAAATATATACGGGTGCGGACAGCCACTGGGACAGAAGGTTGCTGGCTTTCAACGTCTATTCATCCTTTCTTCTTCTTCTTTTTTTTTTTTTTTTTTTGAGTTGGAGTCTCACTCCGTTGCCCAGGTTGGAGTGCAGTAGCACACTCATGGCCACCCCAGCATCGGCCTGCTGGGCACCGGCGATCCTTCTGCCTCAGCCTTCTGAGTAGCCAGAACTACAGGCACGCCGCTACCACATCCGGCTATTTTTTATTTTATTGCAGAGACAAGGTCTTGCCAAGTTGTCCGGGCTGGTCTGAAACCCGTGGGCTCAGGCAATCCACTCTCCTTGGCCTCCCAAAGTGCTGGGATTACAGGCTGAACCACTGAGCCCAGTCTATTCATCCTTTCAACAAGTATTTGTTTAGCACTTGTTTAGCATTGCACTAAGCAAATGGGGACACAAACGTGGGGTTTATGTTAATTTTTTTTTGAATCAGGGTCTCACTCTGTAGTGTAGTGACCTGATCATGGCTCACTGCAGCCTCAACCACCTGGGTTCAAGTGATCCTCCTGCCTCAGCCTCCTGAGTAGCTGGGACTACAAGTGCACACCACTATACCTGGCTGATTTTTTTACTTTTTGTAGAAATGAGGTCTGGCTATGTTGCTCAGGCTGTTTTGGAACTCCTGGGCTCAAGCAATTTTCCCTCCTTGGTCTCCCAAAGTGCTGGGATCACAGGTGTAAGCCACCTCACCAGGCCCTAGGTTAATCCTTAAACTTTAGTATGCAGAATAATTTATGAATTTGTTAAAATACAGATTCCCAGAATCTTCCCCAGAGTCCAGTTGATTAGATCTAAGTGGAGACAGGAAGGTGAATTTTTTTTTTTTTTTTTGAGTGGGAGTCTCACTCTGTCGCCCAGG